CTGAAAGATTTACCTGCAAGGTGGCATTCCACTGGACCGAATGGAAATCCTGAACCAAAAATATTGGACGAATTTCATACGAAACTAATGACTAATGGGCAAAATTCATTTTGGCCGAAAAATAAAATAAATTTTCATCTAGATTCATTCTTCCTCAACTGACACTTGCAAATTGAGGATCATTATCAAACAATACCTACATTCAGGAATGGACATCCTTATGATCTCTGTAGAATTTGCTGGTACAAATTTCAGACCGCCCAACAATCCTACTTTCGGAGCACCAAGGAAATAACTGCCCTTGGACGCAAAGGAGCATCATTAGACATGTGCTCTAAGACCATGCAATGAGTGTTTCAAACTTTAACCCCTTAAGGACCACACTTTTGGAATAAAAGGGAATCATGACATGTCACACATGTCATGTGTCCTTAAGGGGTTAAACATCTTGCATATATTGGTTGGAATGAAGTGCTATTTAATTAATAATGGGAAATGAGTATTGGGATCTTTCAGTTTTAAGTAGGAACATTGGAGTAAATTTGAGTTTGTGTCTTCATGGGAAGAATAAGAAAAGTCAGGCTTATGGAAATTATTCTATTAGGAGCTATAAATCTGCATTTAAAGAGTTTATCTCTCTGTGCACTGATTCTCCTTTTTTCATTTTACTTGAGAGGTAATTTAAGAAAGGTTGCCTTTAAAACGCTTGCATACTTAACATCAACGTGCATGAAATAATGCAGAATTATTAGCTAATCTGGAGTTATTACTATTAATCAGTATTTATATGTATGTGATAAAAAAAAACAGACGTGTGTAATACATTGTATATTCTTGTAGCCAGGCCCGGACTGGCCATCGGGCACACCGGGCAAATGCCCGGTGGGCCGCGGTGGCCGTGGGGCCGAGGCCGGCAGGGAGATCACAGGATCTCTCCTGCCGGTCTTTGCAGGGCCGGCGCTATCTGAACGCCGGCCCTGCAGTAGTCCATGGAGGGCTGGTGGGGAGATCAGAGATCTCCCCACCGGCCCACATGCAGGATAGTGCGGCCGCCGGGGGAGAGAGGGAGGGAGCCAGCCTGCCAGGAGAGGAACCCAGCGGAGCTTTAACTAACAGCTCCGCCGGGTTCCTCTCGCGAGATTCGGAGCGTTGCCATAGCAACGCTCCGGGTCTCGCAAGAGTGAACTCTAGCCTTACAGGCTAGAGTTCACTCACCACTAAGACCACCAGGGATGGATGGCAGCCCCAGCAGCAGGATCCCCCTCCCAGGCTAAAGGTAAGCAGGGAGGGGGGAAATAATCACCTAACTAACATCAGCCTCACAGACACCCCTAACACTCACAGCACCCTCATTCACACACACACACTGCACCAATGACACTCACACACACACACACTGCACCAATGACACTCACACACACACACACACACACTGCACCCCTGACACTCACACACACACACACTGCACCCCTGACACTCACAGCACACACACACACACACACACACTGCACCCCTGACACTCACAGCACACACACACTGCACCCTGACACTCACAGCACACACACACTGCACCCCTAACACTTACAGCACCCTCACACACTGCACCCCTGACTCACAGCGCACACACCACACACACACACTGCACCCCTGACACTCACAGCACACACACACACACTGCACCCCTGACACTCACAGCACCCTCACTCACACTGCACCCCTGAGACTCACAGCACACACACACTGCACCGCTGACACTCACAGCACCCACACACACACTGCACCCCTGACATGCACAGCACCCTCACTCACACACACTACACCCCTGACACAGCACACACACACACACTCACATCACCCTCACTCACACACACACACTGCACACCTAACACTTACAGAACCCTCACACACACACACTGCACCCTGACACTCACAGCACACACACACACACACACACTGCACCCCTGACATGAACAGCACCCTCACTCACACACACTGCACCCCTGACACAGCACACACACACACACACACACTCACATCACCCTCACACACACACACAGACACTGCACCCCTAACACTTACAGCACCCACACACTGCACCCCTGACATGCACAGCACACACCCTATCTGGCCCGCCCCCTTTGTAGTGGGCCGCTGTAATTAAAAAATGCCCGGGCCGAATTATCTTCCCAGTCCGGCCCTGCTTGTAGCAGACTATGCCCTAGGTAAGTACGGAGCTGCAATGCATTCTATCTGCTATGTATTAGTAAATATGGAGGTAGAACAATGCTGCATGCTTCGTTCTCCTAATAATTGCCTGTGTTTTATGATATACTAGGCTTCGTCCTAATAAGACTGTAGCAGTGCATGTTGATTGATAAATAAATCATGATAGCTTGTGATAGTATTTATTAACAGCAGAATTATTTGTCATAGCTTTGTACACAATGTTTTTTTTTTCCCCAAAGACCTCAGCAGTCTGATCAGCTGTATTGGCAGTCAATCACTGAACAGAGAAGGGATCTCCTTCAGTGAGTCATGGAGTCCAAAGTCCACACTGTCCTGGCACTGCAGTTGGGCTCTCGTAATTTGATAAGCAACCTAATGAAAATGGTAAACCACATGTAAAGTGCAGTAACTGATGGAGTCACACATTTGTCCAGTAACTCAATTCTAGCTGCACGCATTAGTCTCTGTTACACTGGCAAAGTCTACAGCAACCACATTGGACACTGTATTTCTTGTCCAGTCTGGGCACTAGAAAGGGTATGGGCAGTAGGGCAAGGCATTGCACACCCAAGTCATCTCCTTTAGTTCTAGATTCTACACTCACTTATTTACCTTCAGGTATTTAAAATTAAAATTCAGTTGAAATGATAGCCTATGTGAGTATAATGATCAGCTATATATATTTATGCAGTTGACACATTTGTAGCTTTTCTGTTTTTAGTTTTATTCAATTGAGAGAGAAAAGAGGAAAGGTAGGTGGTGAAAAGGTGTCAATTTTTTGGCTTTTTTGGCAGGTTGGTAGGCAGCTGTCTACGGGGGATCCTCCTCAGTATGGACACCTACCCCAGAATGTTAAAGATTTTTACCTTTTTACATACGTTTTTGCTTTTTGCTGTGTATATATAATATATTATATTTACTCGAAAACAAGAGAAATCTCAGTGTATCCTCCCTGGTAAAATATTTTATAAATAAAAAGGAAGTATATAGACATATCCTGACTATCTTTCTTTAAATCATGGAGTAAGTAACAGAGAATAGGAATATTTTGGAGAGTAATGAATGAGAATTCTACAGGTATCTGAGATGACAATTTGTCAACGTTGAAAGCTATGTACAGGCCTACACACAATGGTAAAAAAGATGATTATTTTCAGTGTGTCAATGCATTTCCCAGGAATTTAGTGAGGAGATATCTTGAGATTCGCACTGTTTTCAAAGCAATAACTACAATGTAAAAGATCTAAACTGATACACCATTTATGTGTGCCATAAAAACCCTTTTATGATGCCCACAGAATTGTAGAAAATGCAATTCAGCAGCCAAAATGTTATGTCTTTGACAGTTTTAAATAGAGCTCTATGATAAATTATGTGCATGTGCGTCTGAATAATTACACAAGTATCAACACAGTTTGAATTGCAATGCTTTATGTTTGCAACTAAAGTATTGGCGTTTGGCCCGAATGAATTGGAATATGAAATGATAGCGTTTATTCATAGTACACATTATTATGTAGTCTGCTGCAGACATAACATAGCCAATACAGCATTACTGAATCCTTGATTTACTAGTCGTATAATTTTTTTAAATTCTGTATATTCTGTATTTATTCTGTAATATAGATCAGAATTTGTTATTACATTCTATATATTATACCGTTTGTATATAATGTTATAAATCGCTAAAAAGTTATTGTAAGATTTAAAATGAACAATTTGCTATAATGATAAATATTGACAAACGTTGCACATGAGTAAGCAACACCAGACCTCTTACCTATTTCGTTACACACCTTCAGAGTTTATAGAAGTCAGCACTAAGTAAACTCGGGGTTAATTATAAAACACAATGTGCTAGACGTGTTTGCCTTTTTACATTGCCTTCAGAGCTTACTTATCTCACATAGAACACAATCTACAACTACTGAGAGAAAAAGCTGTAATGGTCTTATTAAAGCCATAAATCAGGATATTATATACTGTCAGAGTAGGCTGCTAGGTGTAAACAGAGGTGTACTCACTGTTATTTTCAGATTCCAGAACAGGATCACAGCTCTCCAATCACGAACGATGTTCCTCTTTAAAACTAAAATGAAAGTTAGCTTAGCTCTCCCTTTTTTTATGGGAGGAGTTTTCCGAACTGAGTGAACTATTTCCTACAATAAAACATCATAATTATAGTCACGGCTAGATCTGGGTGTAGGCAGGACTGCAAGTTTTAAAAACAGCCTTTTCAGTTTTATTTCGAACATTCAGCTTGTGAGATTCGGAATTTTGAAGTCGGAGAGAGAAAAAAGTGTGGATTATAACTTAACCCCTTCAAGACCAATTGCATTCTAACACTCTGGCCCAGAAACTGTTTGCCAAGATGTGTTGTTCTGCTTATTTTCCATCAGAACTTCGCGAGAACCCAGCTGGCTCTCACATGGGAATGACAGAATATCATTGTTAAAGATTTGGTAATAAGATTTTATGATTTGCTCTTTCAAACAGTAAAGCGTTTTCAAATGTCCACCCACAGATGGTAGTATTCTGAAATAGTGTTCAAATCATGTTATTATTTTATTTACAAAGTCAAGTAAACAGAACACACAAGTAATAATTAACAAATGATAATAGGCGTGCAGCAAGAAGCAGTGATGAGAAGATAATTTTATAGGGCAGATCGAAGGTCAAGAAAGGTCATAAGGTAACTGTGACCACAGGACTCTTGTTAGCAAAGTATCCCACCGGAGTTGTAGGTGGAAATCAGGAACGATGTCATTATTACCATTTCAAGCTGCTGTTTCAACAATCAAAAGGTTTGGGTGGCCAAGATAGCTTGAATGGTAAAGGTGATGCTGGTGTTTTTCCATATCATAGATCCAGTATCCGAGGCTATTTAGCTGATGTTTTATTTGTGGTCACCTTCACGTGGTGCAATGTTAGGGGCCCTGAGTCATCATGACTGAGAGTTGGAAGATTGGGGTATCTGGTACCCTGCAAATGCACTCATACCTCCCAAAGAAGATTATCAATTGCTCTTCACGACAAGTAATTAGTCTAACCGAGTTAATTAAATGGATATGGCTCTGAAACCCCAAATCTCTGGAATGTCACCTGGTTAAACCAGTATTTTGAGCTACACATGATACACAATCTAACAATGAGTGGTATTTATAGGTTTGAAAAGTTCCTGAATTTTTAATGACCCCTTCCTAAATTGGTGGTGTTTTTTGTGTGGAGTGTGTATGTGTGTGTTTGAGGATGCTGGAATGTATTGCTTGAGTAGGGGTGTACATGTATGTATGTGTATGTGTGTGGTTGTCATGTATGTCATTTTATGTGGTGTGCAGGAGTAATAATGTGTTTTATGTGGCGTGCAGGATATATATACTGGTGTTTGTGTGGTGTGCATGGGTCTGTGGAGTTTGTGTGGGGTGCAGGACCATGTATGTGTGACATTTGTGTGGTATATAGACATGTAGTGGTGGTGTGCAGGGGTATATATCTCTGATGTTTGTATGGTGTGCAGAGATATATTTGTGTGGTGTGCATGGGTATGTATACAGTGGTGTATCCTGGTGCTGCCCTAGGCATGACAAAACTTTTGTGCCCCCCCCCCCCCCCCCGTGCCACCCTACCCTTCCCCTATGCCCCGCCTTCTAAATACAAACACACACACACATTAACTGACAGTCACGCATACACTAGCTAACAGACATACACACTCACTAACAGACACATACAGTCTCTAGCAGACACACACATTCACTAACAGACACTCTCTCACTAACAGACACTAGCTACACTAGCTAACAGACATACACACTCACTAACAGACACATACAGTCTCTAGCAGACACACACATTCACTAATAGACACTCTCTCACTAACAGACACTAGCTACACTAGCTAACAGACATACACACTCACTAACAGACACATACAGTCTCTAGCAGACACACACATTCACTAACAGACACTCTATCACTAACAGACACACACATAGTAACACACTCCCTAACAGACACACTCCCTGACATACACACACTCACTAACAGACACACTCACACACACTAACAGACACACACTAACACACACTAACGCACACTAACAGACACACACACACACAAACACACTAACAGGCACACACACACACACTAACAGACAAACACACACTCACTAACAGACAAACACACACTCACTAACAGACGCACAAACAAACACACACTAACACACACATTCACTAACAGACACACACCCACACACTAACACACACACACTAACACACACAAACGCACATTAACACACTCACTTTTTTTTTTAATTCAACCCCCCCCAGCCTCCTTACCTTTGGGAATGCTGGGGGGGGGGTGGTGGGGGAGTTCTCCCATTCCCTGGGGTCCAGTGGCTGCTGGGCGGACGGCGCTGGTGAGGCAGCACTGATTAGTGAGCTCTGTTCAGCTCCCTCACGCGCCGCAGAGTGATGCCGGGAGCCGGAATATGACGTGCGCGAGGGAGCTGAACAGAGAGCCTAGGTGAAAGTGCTCCCTCGCCAGCGCTGCCCGCCCGCCCGACCGGATTTTTAGTTAGCCGCAAGGCTAACAAGACATTTGCCCTGGGCATTTGGGGGCAGCTTTTTTTGCCCCCTCCTGGAAAATGCCGCCCAAGGCAAATGCCTTGTTTGCCTCGCAGCTAATACGTCCCTGTATGTATATACGTGTGGTGGTTTTGTTGTGTGTAGCAATATATAAGTGTCCTATTTGTGTGAATATAGAGTGTATTACTGTGTGTTTTATATTGGTCTGAATGCATTTTACTTGTGTTCCTGGTCTCCCAATTATACATCTCCCTCAGCCCCCAATGACTTGTGACTTATAATACATACCTAGTAAAGTTACATGATGTTTGATTTCTATTTTTATTATAATTACAACCTCAAGGCCTCCTGGTGATGTTTTCAATGTGCTTCAGAAAGGAGTCAGAAGGTAAGTTCAAGATAGTGAGAGAATCATTATGTAGGACTTGCCACACGCAGCAAATAAGACACTATACAGTCTCTAACTGCAATAGCAGATATTTAGGGTTATTTACCAATGTGAGAAATTAAAGTTAAAGGACCACTATAGGCACTTCAGCTCAATGAAGTGGTCTGGGTGCCAGGTCCCCCCTAGTTTCATAGAGACTGCTATGTTTACACTGAGGGTTAATCCAGCCTCTAGTGGCTGTCTCACTGACAGCCACTAGAGGCACTTCCTCGATTCTCATTGTGAAAATCACAGTGAGAAGACTCTGGACATCCACAGGAAAGCATTGAGTAATGCTTTCCTATGGGTGGTTTGAATGCGCACGCGACTCTTGCCGGGCATTCGGTGCTGACTTTGGCAGGCGGAGGAGGGGTAACCAGCCCCAAGGGAGCCCGGCGCTGGAGAAAGGTAAGTGGCTGAAGGGGTTTTAACGCCTTCAGCCATGAGGGTGGGGGGGACCTAATATCCCAAGTTTGTTTTCCTGGCACTATAGTGGTCCTTTAATTCAGTCAGTTATGCTTTCAGTCTAGCTACTTCAGCTTCTGGCCCTGTATAATAAACTGTATAAAGGAACGTATTGATTAAACCTACAGAACTGAGGCCTGAGCAGGCACTTAGAGCAGAAACATTTAATACGTGTGATATCCAATAAGCGGCTTTTAATATAACAGGGGACCATCAGCAGGCCAGACTGGGGATACAAAGCAGCCCTGGAAAAAAAATCAATGCCAGCCCCATGAGTCATTGCGCCATATATTGTCGCACGTAATATGCAAGGCTATGTCTTGCCATCCCAGATGATTGAGACATATATATACAGTTGCAAGAAAAAGTATGTGAAACCCTTTGGAATGATATGGATTTCTGCACAAATTGGTCATAAAATGTGATCTGATCATCATCTAAGTCACAACAATAGACAATCACAGTCTGCTTAACCTCTTTGGACCAAACTCCAGGAATAAAAGGGAATCATGACATGTCACACATGTCATGTGTCCTTAAGGGGTTAAACTAATAACACACAAAGAATGAAATGTTGCCATATTTTTATTGAACACACCATGTAAATATTCACAGTGCAGGTGGAAAAAGTATGTGAACCCCTAGACTAATGACATCTCCAAGAGCTAATTGGAGTGAGATGTCAGCCAACTGGAGTCCAACCAATGAGATGAGATTGGAGGTGTTGGTTAAAGCTGCCATGCCCTATAAAAAACACACACCAGTTCTGGGTTTGCTTTTCACAAGAAGCATTGCCTGATGTGAATGATGCCTCGCACAAAAGAGCTCTCAGAAGACCTACGATTAAGAATTGTTGACTTGCATAAAGCTGGAAAGGGTTATAAAAGTATCTCCAAAAGCCTTGCTGTTCATCAGTCCACGGTAAGACAAATTGTCTATAAATGGAGAAAGTTCAGCACTGCTACTACTCTCCCTAGGAGTGGCTGTCCTGTAAAGATGACTGCAAGAGCACATCACAGACTGCTCAATGAGGTGAAGAAGAATCCTAGAGTGTCAGCTAAAGACTTACAAAAGTCACTGGCAAATGCTAACATCCCTATTAGCGAATCTACAATATGTAAAACACTAAACAAGAATGGATTTCATGGGAGGATACCACAGAGGAAGCCACTGCTGTCCAAACAAAACATTGCTGCACGTTTACAGTTTGCACAAGAGCACTTGGATGTTCCACAGCAGTACTGGCAAAATATTCTGTGGACAGATGAAACCAAAGTTGAGTTGTTTGGAAGAAACACACAACACTATGTGTGGCGAAAAAAAGGCACAGCACACCATCATCAAAACCTCATCCCAACTGTGAAGTATGGTGGTGGGGGCATCATGGTTTGGGGCTGCTTTGCTGCTTCAGGGCCTGGACGGATTGCTATCATCGAAGGAAAAATGAATTCCCATGTTTATCAAGACATTTTGCAGGAGAACTTAAGGCCATCTGTCTACCAGCTGAAGCTCAACAGAAGATGGGTGTTGCAACAGGACAATGACCCAAAGCATAGAAGTAAATCAACAACAGAATGGCTTAAAAAGAAGAAAATACACCTTCTGAAGTGGCCCAGTCAGAGTCCTGACCTCAACCCGATTGAGATGCTGTGGCATGACCTCAAGAAAGTGATTCACACCAGACATCCCAAGAATATTGCTGAACTGAAACAGTTCTGTTAAGAGGAATGGTCAAGAATTACTCCTGACCATTGTGCACATCTGATCTGCAACTACAGGAAACGTTTGGTTGAAGTTATTGCTACCAAAGGAGGTTCAACCAGTTATTAAATCCAAGGGTTCACACACTTTTTCCACCTGCACTGTGAATGTTTACATGATGTGTTCAATACAAACATGGCAACATTTCATTCTTTGTGTGTTATTAGTTTAAGCAGACTGTGACTGTCTATTGTTGTGACTTAGATGATGATCAGATCACATTTTATGACCAATTTGTGCAGAAATCCATATCATTCCAAAGGGTTCACATACTTTTTCTTACAACTGTATATTTATATATATATATAGTAAAAATGAAAATCCAGCGCACTCACTCATCCACTAAACAGTTATTTTAGTGCTGAACAATTTTGTTAGTTTTATTAAAAACACCTAATCTAGGCAAAAAATAATGGGGGTTTAGTTACAGTATATGATCATACATTGCATCAATCTTGATGAAGACCTGAAGAGGTCGAAACGTCGATCAGACAGATGTAAACTTCTTGTTACATTAAACACCAGTGATTTTTTCAACAAAGAACCTAGAGTGCATCTCCTTTCTTCAATTTGTGTATATATTCAGCGTGGAATTGCACCAGGGCATACTATTTACATAGCATCTGAAAGGATGAGTGCCATTACATTTATGTATATATATATATATATATATATATATATATATATCAAATATATATTGCTTTTTCTAATATAAAATATTGGTCCTTTCAGAGTTAAACGTTTAATTATAGCATAAGCATACTCACATGCAGACACAGGCAATTTCACTGATATACATCAGCTCATTGACA